TGTTTAAATCTGTGAAGTGTCAGATGAGATCAAATAGCTTTTTAACATTTCTTTCCATCAGGGGTCCAAAACCATCATCAGCAAGAAACCATTTTATGTAAATTTAAATGAAATGGTGTTTGTGCCCATCTTACACATTTTGTCTGTGCAGTGCCGAGTAAATGATGTACAACAGACTAAATATGCCTTGCTACTGGTTCTACATTACATTATTATATACAGTAGGCCTACCACCTAACAATACATAAAACCACCAAAAGTATTTTTGAACTTATTGTAATACAAGCTTCTAAAGGCGATACATACAGCTGCAGAAATATGCTCACTGATGATATTATTAAAGCAGGCATGTTGTACTTGGCAGCTCAAAGCACTGTTTGCTTTCCAAACGCAACAGTGCCTTTCTTTCCACTTTTTTGCTTTGCTGCAGGATTCAGGAGTGGCTGGTTACTTACTTAAATTTAGATTGGTCCAAGGCTGCATTTTCAGTTTGGGAGTGTTCACACTTGAGATAAATTGACCCCTAAGGTGACTTAAGTTTGAAAGAAGTCAAAGAAGCCAATCAGCATTTACAGTACGTGCTTTAGATATGATACCTCAGGTCTGAACTTGCTATGCATCGCCCCATTCCCCTAACTAGAGAGTTGCACTGATATTCAATTAAAGAGAAATTGATACTCTACTTATTATACCGGCCTGGGACTCTACTCTATTCCAGACTCAGAACTGTTGCAGATCCTGCTGTTGTACTTTCAACAAGGAACTTTACATCAATTGGTCTAGTTCACCACATTGTACAAATGGAAACAAGCACTGCAGGGGGTAGGCTCTGTGGTGGTCTCCAGGGAGGGATTAATTAATCTCAGAATCTCATCCAGCTCTTTCTTGAAAGAAACTTGGGTATTTTGATTCAACAAAGTGGTTGAATTGCTTGTTTCATCCCCTCACAACCCTTTGTGTAAAGAGAGGTTTGGGAGAATGGAGAAAGCTACCCAGCCATGTTACTGAAGCTGTATTTGATATAATCTTCTCAATTCTTTAGTTTGCAACCAGATTTTAGATCATTGATAAAAACAAAGGACCCTCATCTGTAACTTTCGTTTCCTGTTCATTAATAAATTCTTAATCCAAGCATTTATGTTACCTTGAGTGACAGCTTGGAATTTTAGAATGAATCATTTATAAGGAACTTTATCAAAAGCAACCTAAGAGATAAATATGCCATATCATACATCTTATTAGCATTTATTACCATATTCCTTCTTAAAAGAACTCTTACATTAGTTAAGCAAGACTTAAATGTGTTGACTATCTTTTATAATCTTATAACCATACTGATGAGTTCTAATTTTTGTTTCCATTAGCTTGTTAAGGAGTAAAACATATGGGTCTAGAATTACCTGGCTCAGTTTCGTCACCCTTTTTCTGCATGGGCACTAAATTAATAATACTCCAATCACTAGGCATTATCCTTGTCTGGGGAGACAGCTGGAAGAGTTTTGTTAATGGCCTATAATAACATCTCTTGTTTCCTTAAGTTCAATTGATAGCGTACCATTCACCCCTGGAGATTTGTTTATCTTAAGTGCTTCTAGTACCTGTAACACTTCTGTGCTCAAGCTTTTTACTGTAGAGCTTTGTGCTTGCTCAGCCTGAAGCATGCTGTCTCTTTCTTCCATGGGAAACACCTGAGAGAAATATTCAATTACAACATCAGCCATTTCCTTTCCACCATCTGGAGGTTTGCCACTATTACCTTTGCTTCATCCTTTACTCGTCTTTTGCTAACAACAGAAAAAAAAAGTTTTATTTTAGTGTTTATTACAACATCACTTTCTGTCCCTCTCTTGGCAATTCATTCTATTCCTATAATTTAACTGAATCCTGTTTTTTTGCATTATTTTATAGAGTGCTTCCTTTCTCCTTATATTTATCTTAATGTATTAATCTATTTAGCATACAGTATTTGTCCAGGTTGTGTAAGAGAAATGCTACAGAATCTGACAAGACAGTATCTGCAACCTGATGCAAAGTATGCACAACAACAATTACTTCAAATAGTAATCTAAGACATCAACAGAAAACCCCATACTGATGAGAGATTTAGCATATTGAATTTATCTATGTTATGTATATTTAATAAAATGTCTGTGCACTTGCTCCAAAATATGTAATTTTTCTGGTAATAACTACTGAATTTGTTGTGAATATGTTGCAGCTATAAGCAGTAAGTTTCTTTTCGATTGTATACATTAAGTTCCAGCTTTGCGCTGATAGCTTTTAGGGACACTCACAAAATGTGTTAAATGTGTGTGTCACTTTAAAATGAAAATACATCTGTGCCACTATAGAAAAGCATGTGGTAAGCTTTCCAAAAGCCACTGTGATTCAGTGCCAGATCAAACCTTTAAAAGTTGTAAATTCTTCTATACCTTTTTTATACATATGTTTTAATTATAAAGAGTGTTATCACTTTTTGCAAATGTGTCCATACGTCTGAAACTGATTTCTTAGTGAATAAGGTTACATCATTGACTTAGGAACAGCATTAAACCAAAATTGCTTCAAAGGTTTCCTTTGTTCTTGCGATTTAGCTTTTCTCCTCCAGAAAGACATGCTGCTCTTTAATGGAAACTTGGGGGGAATCCTGAGTATCATGCATCACCATTTATAGTGGAAATTAGCACCTATCCTGTACACAAGGCAGAGACCACAATACAGTTGGTGGCTGTATATAAGCAATGACTCAATACCCTTTCAAAGTATATTTATATTTCTTTACAAATGAAAAGAATGGAGCTCCTGACAAAGCTTGATATTTACAATTTTTTAAGTTAGATTTTTTTTGCTTTGGTAATGCATTTGAAATATAGGAGATGATAGTTCAATAAATGGATACAATATATCCAGTCCATGTGCATGGAGCATGGAAATATGATGAATGTACTCCATCACAGATGAGTAAAATACCTAGATGATGCTGATGATGAACAATCAAAGCACACAAAAATCTATTTTCCCCAGGGTTTTCAAATAAACCTTTCGGCAGACCCTTGATTCATCTATCACAGTTTATGAACTACGTGCACTACAGATATCCAGTTTGGCACAATAGCGCAGTGTTGTGACACTATATTTTTTTCTGCCTGTTCGAAACAGGTCATTTCCTGCATTACTCTTTGTTGTGACATTCCCTCCTCTGCCACACTGAGCCCTTTCCCTCTTATTTACTGTACCAGCACTGGTTTTAGACATCTGGAAAATCTCTTCCCTCTAGATCTCAAAATCCCACTCGAAGACTTTCAGATTTATCCACAGCTGGAGAAATTACATATCTCAAACCCAGTGGGATTCGGATTTAAATCTTAACATGAGCCCTCAAAAAATAAATACCCTCCATTTTAACATGGCTATTTACTGTACAGCTAATCATTTAGAAATTGTACAAGTTCTATTAAATACCTGTATAGAATAGATTTGCTCACTTTTGTCTTAAATAATGAATCATCTATTTTTCACATACACATTTTTGTCCATTTTGTTGCAGGTGGGATTACTGCAGCAATCCAGATGAACTACCCTGTGCTCAAGTGTACATCAGTAGAGCCCCAAGTGAGATTGGAACCAACAACCTACGTAGCCTGACGTCCAGCCTTAACCACCCCCAGGAGCAAAGGGCTGCCGAGAGAAGGGAAATGTGCAAAAAACAATTATAATGATGGAGAGGAAGCTCGCTTTCAGACGGACAATAGGGAGAATGATCTCAGAATTACGAGCAAGAAGTCATCGCCACTTAACGATGCAGCCTGAGGCTGCAGCACTTGAGTCCAAAGACCCAAACCCCACCACTCCTGGAAAGAATAAGGCAACAGACAGGCCGGGGGCAACGTTCTGTTTCAGATCTCCAAACCTTCTGCAAGCCTACTTCGGCACTTTAAGAAGCTCATCGCGACCGTTAAGATAAAGACTGAACTGAGAGGCACCAGTGTAAAAATGCAAGAGCGAGTAACTAAATATAAATTGCCTGCAAACCGGGCTTCTCCAACTTTCGGGAAAAAAAAATCCCGTCTTCTTTCGGTATCATATTTCAATTTTCTCATATTTTACCCTAACAACCTAAACTGTGTCAGTTGTGAATCCAAATTTTCCAAAATAGTTGTTAAAAAATACAAATACAGTTATTAGATACACATTAATAATACATAGAACGAGTTCTTCAATGTTGCCCTTCTGATCACACGTTGATAACTACCCGGGAGTTAAACATTTTAAAAAACGCCCACAACAAACCCCCACACAGCATCAACTCTTATATAAGCGGAATTCTATAATAACATTAACATAATTTACACTAACCCAGAATGCACCCAAGCAGACTGCACTACTAGACCGAAATAAATCTGAACTGAAGAAACTCCCAAACACTCATCATGCTAAAGAAAACACCAATTTTGCGCCACCTCGGACTCAATTCCAAAAGACCGCGACAAATATTTCACGAGCATGTGAAAGGAACACAGAAATTCATATAAACCTAAACTAAAAAAAAAAACAACAACTTTCCCACAGGAAAAAAAAAATCCAAATGATTCGCATCTGTTCAGTGACACTACCGGCCAGCCTCCGGGGCTCTAAATACACACTGAGCGGTGCTGGAAAGGGGAGGAGAGAAAGACGGGAAGCCCCTCCTTTAAAGCTCTGATTGGCTATCGCGTTCCTGCCTGTCGCTCATTGGTCACATTGTGCAACATAATGCGGTGTTGTCTGAGCCATACCATTTTTTACGGAGAGGTAGCGTCAGTTTTTATTTCTATACATTTAATAACGTTTTATTGAAATAAGAAAAGAAAATTATATTTTAAAACCTCTTAGATAATTATTCAATGTCTTATTTCATTTTTAAGACAATAAAGAGAGGATAATAGTAACAAATGCACAACGAGTCAACACAAACTCCCCTTTTCTTTTCGTTTAGAAAGTACAGCTCAAAATGGCTGTGGCGAAACAGTTGTGTGAGTGCGCTTTTCAGCATGAGAATTAAACTGTAACACTTTTATAGACGGGAAGAAAAACCCTTTATCGCCCGCAGGACCCAACCGAAAGGTGAGGAATACAAGTTTTGTAGGATTGCTGAGATGGCTGCCGCCGCAGCTGCGGAAAATAAAACCCAATCGCGTTCTTGGGTGACGGGATTACGACAGTAACTTCAGCCAATAGGAGGGTTGAGGGCAGTGGCAGGCTGTGGCCTGCAGAGCACATTCAGGAAAAGCTGCGACGTCTAGACAGAGAGTACAGCGGTTGTGGCAAAGTAGACATTCCTGCTAATGAGGCGTAATTTCTCCTTCGCGGTGCAAACTTTGCTTTCATTTTTGCTGAGAGTGGTTGCTCTAATGTTTACGAGGCCGTATATATTGCACGCATATTCTTATGCATGTAACTTTAAGGCTGTGGCTGCGCTCTGTGTAAACTGCAGATTGGCAGTAGTTTCAAGGAACGCTCGTTGTCCCCCATGACTGAATCCTTCGTACTCATAATTGAACCGGCAAATGCACATTAGCGACGAGTTTAGCCTTGGGTGTAACGAAGAATGCGATTGTCCAGATTAAAGTGATGCATCGGAATGCACTCAATTCTTCATTGTCGCCCCTGCCCAAGCCCGGTGGTTCCCTCTTCTATTCAGCTGATAGTGTGATGTACAGTATGCACACGTCTCCCTGCTCCACACTGTTCTGTGGACAGTGGGATAACATCTCGGCCTTAACATAACTCATATCTTTATTATTTTAAGCGCTGTAAGGCGGCTGCTTTGTTGGGACTTATCGAAATGATTTTACCCGTAATCACAAACTTTGATTTTGTAATCAATGTAAACATATATATATATATTTTGAATTAGAGATCTGTAACGCACATCTTATCCGAAAGACATGCAAAATGTGAGCTGATGTATGCACTGGGACCCTTTATCAGATGAAATGTTTGTCTGTGATCCATTTAGCATCTAAGGAACACTTTAGAAGATACTTGTGAGGTTTGATCAGGCTTAAGGTTTCCTTTCATTCTACACTGAATTACAGAGATGCGGTAGTATTCAAATAGCTTTCTCCCAATCCAATTCCTTGTCTAATGATACTGGTAGTTCCAGGACACTTAGATATGTTACTAAATATTCATACCGTTAAGCAGGAAGTGTTGCGACTGAAGTTAGACCATACCAGAATACTAGACGTAGAATACCACACGTGAAATAGGTGATTATCTGTATTTTATCAGTTTTACTTTTTCTCCTCAATAATTCCCACGCAAGATAGTAGAAATATTTTGACTTTGGTTTCCATTTTGCAGTTGTTGATTGTTACGTTTTTCCTTAGGAAGGAAACGCATTCTTCGCATCTGCAAGTGAAGAACACGTTCTATTCTCAACTTTATGGGTGTCCGAATGGTCATCAAAGTGGGCTACACTTGTAACTCGAATGAGTAAATCAATTTCTTTCCTGATTCATGTTCATATGTGGCCTCCCTGTAATATGGGCTGACTCTGAATCTCATTTAGGCTGTTAAGAAGTGTCATTCATTTGGTACGAAGTGAGAAATTTCACATTCCAAAAAAAGACTTTGTGCTGCATGCAGGTTTTATGTCAAGGGAGATGAAAATGGAAAGTGATGAGGCATCATACCATAACCTTGTCCATAGTTTGATTGGATTTATAGCTGTAGGGTTGATTGATGAATCATTGTTGGGGGGAGGGGGGGGTTAGATGTGTTGTCACACTGCTGCATTGGTTCACAGTCCAGTCATTGTCCAGTCACGGTCATTGAAGAACTGGTGTCTGTATGGCCTCTCCTGTGCGTTTCACGTGAAATACATGTGAGCAGTACATTTTGGGGTGGCACATTGTCGCGGTGGTCAGTATCGATGCCTCGCAAGCCTGGGTTCAGATCAGGACCTGGGGTACTGTCTGTGCGGAGTTTGCATGTTTCCCCATGTTTGCATTGGTTTCCTCCCGCGGTCCAACACAATACTAGTAGGTTGATTGGCTTCTGTAAAATTGGTACGGGGGGTGTCTGAAAGGCCAGTCCAGTCTGTGTGTCTGCCTGCCCTGCGATGGACTGGTGTCCTGTCCAGGTTGTATCCTGCCTTGCGGCCATTGCTTGCTAGGATCCAGCTGCCCCATGAGCCTGTATTGGATGAAGTGCTAAGCAAATGGATGATGGTACATTTTGAAGTAAGAGTGGTAATCACAGTCCAGCAGCTGACAACTGTGGTTTGACTGTTAGTCATCCACTATTTTTTCACAGATGCTGACAAACACTGAACCCTCGAAGTGTGTATCTCTGGCTCCTGAAATCGTCTTTTGACATCTTCCCAGTTTTTGGATCCATTTTTTATCTCATTGGTTTGTCATGGCGGGAGATAAAGGCATTGTGGTCTCTGAGCAGATTATGAAAATCAAGGGCTTGTTTTATGTGTAGCAGAGACACTAGAATAGCTGATTCTTGTGAAGAGTTTTAAAGAAACGAATCAATAATTTATTTCTCAGGAACAGCTGGGTCAGTCTAAGTATTAAGTGTACATAGACTTAATAGTGTACACAATTATTTATGTTTTCATGAATTAGATAGCCAATTGGTTTTCTTTTAGTTTGCAGTCACGATCAGTCCGTTAGCTAGGTCCTTCCTGGCTTGTAAAAGCTATCAATTGTAAAAATGTTATTGTTGTTGTAGCAGAACAGATTTGTCTTGTTGAATGATGATATGACAAACTCAGAGGGCCACGGAAATACTGAGCTCTTTATATTCTCTGGCACAGTTTTGGTGGGAGCGTAATCAAATCAGAGTGAAACTCTGAGAAAAAACATTTATTAATAACGATTAAGACACAGCATCCAATAGGAAACAAAAACACATGTATACAAAGTTGTGTTTTAGGGGCTTACTCTCTGTAGAACTCTTAACCCAGAATGCTGCATCCTAAAACAAGAATACGACCTAGAACTAAAGCTCTCTTCCTGCAGCATCAATGGCCAAAGCTAAATGGAAACCTCTCTCCTAAAGGAGAGAACATATTTAGCCTAAGGGTTCCAGTATACAGGAAATCATAATTTCCAAACCTGAAAAGGACAGAAAGCAACCAACCTGTAACAAACTTCAAATTGCTTAGCCAGAGATTGATCAGAACAAGGTTCTCTCGCATGGTACACGTTAGAGGAAGTCAAGATAGTATTTATTTTTCTCTATTTCTCTCTCTCCCTTCTGTTTCCTTTCTGTCCTCCTGTGCGCTGTCTTTGTCTTTTTGCTGTGTTCCTGTGATGGCTCTAATGATTTATCACCAAGTTAATTAACCACAGTAAACCAGGAAATAGTCATGATCATCTCCTATCTCTTAGCCTACCTGCAGCTAGGTAGACATCTCAAATGAAACCAATTGTTTTTAGGTTTTCTGAGATGTGAACTTTCAAGATGTGAGTGGCAAACAATATCGATTTTGTAGCCCACACCTGAATTGTAACAATAACATCCGATTAATTTAGGCTGAGATATTCTGAGAAAATTAAGCAATAAGATACTGTTGAAGTCCATTTTCATTGCAGTGTCAACCATTATAGTTTTTAGGTATGAAGAAAAAATCGAGGCCAATTAATTTACATTTGGATATGCACAGTAAAAAGTCATGTAAGAGATTTTTTTTTTCAATCAGTAATGGGTTATTTCAGTGGTTCATTCAAATAAATTCCCTGAATGAGATATTCACCCAATACAGCTCAAAGTAATGAGGAAAGTTATTAATTCACTTAAAATTATATTTCAGATGTCTCTTAGAGCAGGGAATGTACAGTACCTACTGACTGGGGACAGCACAAAACCAGAGAATTATAGACCAATCAGCTTTATCTCACTTACATCTAAAGGCATCTAATTGCAAGCAGCAGTAGTTCAGGTGGCTAGCTGCATCAGCATGCGTAGGCTGCAAAGGAACAAGTAATAAGTTTATTCCATGCTAAAAAGAGAAGAAAATAAACTCAATGTTTCAGCTGTGGAGCCTTCTTCGGGTGTAAGCTTTAATTGCAAGCAGCATTCTGCAAAAGAAAGAAAGGATAAATTGCCTAATGCACCTATTAGAAGTTTTCAGCAAGTACCTGGTGCAGGAGATAAATTGAAGGCATATCACATGTATGTATTTGGACTTTCAGAAAGCCTTTGACAAAACGGATGACTACAGCCAAAGCTGTAGAAATCCAAGGTAAGGTGCACTTACCCGGGAAGCTAAAGAAGGGTCCTAACGAGGCTGATAGCCTCATATTGGAGTGGGGTCATGAGCGGGGTACTACAGGGACCTGTTCCAGCTCCACCGCTCTTCTCTTCATCTTCCTGTGATCTAGACTGTTAGAGCAAGAAAGCCTGTAGCATTTGCAGAAGGTGCAAAAGGAGGTAAACTGCAAGCAGTGTACGAACAGCAGGGTCAATACAGGAGTTATTACACGTTGGTATGGAAATGACTTTTTTCAGTGGTTATGTGCACGGTATTACAAGCAAGACGCACGATCATGTGTTTCAAATATAACATGAGTGGTAGCGAGCCTGCAGGAGCAATACGGGAAAGAGATTTAGCAGATGCTGAATAAGGTAGCTGTCGACACCCTAGTGGAAGGTGACTGTGTGACCCTTAAAGGAAGGAGTAAATTAAATTATTCGATCAATAACTTACTACAGCAGAAAAGATAGGTCACATAGCCTCTTGCCATTTTTAGAAATTAACTGCGTATCCCAAATGTGGAATATACCAAAAATGAACTGTACATTCCAAACATGTCCTTATTTCATTCAGCCGTGACAATGAAACACAAAGGGAAGGGATTTCCTCACTGTGATTCCGCCTCAGTAATAAACTACTTTGCCCTTTGGTGTGTTGTACAGAAGTGAGTGACGCTGTCAAGAGAGACATTTAGTGTCAGATGTATTTAAGAACAGTTTTGCTGTCCTAAATGAAAATGTTTATTTAGTTTCTTGTTACCGTTTTGCTGTAAGATACTTATCTGATTATCGGTTTGAAAGACATAAAAGCCTAGCGCCTTGCAGAATGATGTACCCCCTTCCAATTTTCT